TTTAAAAAAATGGTAATTTAACCAAATATTTCATTGTTTTTACAGTCTATTATCTATTAGATATTTTTATAAAATTGTGTAGAGAAAGCACGTCAATAGCAGTCGCATTAATATTTAGGATTTCTATAGGTACTGAGAACTCGTATCTGTCATAAATCCTTTTTAAAAAGATAAAGAGCACTAAAAATTTAAAAATAATTACAAATATAAGTAAAAAAACTATAACTAAAAAAACTAGGCGTGGTATTTTTTTGTCACATTTGAATGTAACCAAAGGTGAAATATATCCCTCCAAATAAAAATAATTTTCTTAATCGGTTTACAAGTGAAAGAGTTTTGAGGTAAAAAAACATGAAAATAATTGCGTAACAAACATTTTCTCTCTCTGAATGTTTTGTAATCTCATATATTACTCTCTTGTGCACATCATCATCATCATCATCAACAGCCTATAACAGTCCACTGCTGGACATAGGCATATCCTTAGAAAAGAGGTCTCTTGTGCACATATATGTATCTGTAACCCAACACAAACACCTAGCAAATATCTTGAAAGTATAAAACAAGGTCAATACATGAATATATTATTGAAAGAGTTATTCTCTAACTCTTAAAGATCAAAGACCCTTCCATTATCACGTTGTTGGGGCTGTAAATTTTGAGGTTATCCTCGATTTCTCTAGGATCCCATCATCAAATCATTACAGACGAAGCTCCTTACTTTTCGTCTTAGGTGCCATTAAAAAGCCTCCAATTAATATATTTATATATAATTATATATTTGATCAATTCGATAATACCTAGCTTAGCATGACGATGTGTACAGAACTGAAATACTTAGTAATCTAACACTCTTGATATTTGAAAAAAGGTTTAAATTACTACTTGCAGACTTATCTATGTGTCATCCTTCCGTCTCTGTAGTCTGTTATTAAACTGTAGGGGTCATTTATTTTAATGACATTCAATTCTGTTATGTGTATAAAATTTAAACTAAGTACTTAGAAGGTAATTTTGTCTATTTTATTTATATCTACAGCTTGTTGAATGACCCGGTGGGAATTTTTCAAATGTTAGACCAAATGGAGTGGTACATATTGAGGTATTAATGCGAACAGGCCCTTTAAGCCATGAAGATAGAATTGCAATTTAACATTTTATTTGAAAAACTTATGTATTAGATATTATCTTTGCCTTTCAAATGACGTTGAGTTTGCTCAAATATTATTTTTTTCGTTGAGATAGTAGTGAACAGGGTTTGCTTAGCTTAAAGGCTTGTAGTTCAGTTAAAGGTTTGCTTAGCTGAACTCGGGGTGGGCAGAATTTGATTGGTTTTGCTCAAGCTGAAGACTTGAACTTTAATATAGGTACCTACCCTGTGTATCTTTTTAGAAATAATAAAATTTGAAGAGTTGCATAACCTCAAAATTGCGTTTTTTGCACTTTTAGGGAAATTGTGAGGCCGGATTTGGATGCACCAAAATCCTACTAAAAAGTATACTCTGGTTTCTGGGTAAAATTTTTGTTAGCCTATGTAATTGATGTCAAAGTATTATTGATGTCATTTTCGTGTTGTGCAATTGTCAGATTTTTATTTGTAGTTATTTTTATTTGTATTACTGACACATCATCAGCAAATAGTATCGTGTTATGGTAAGTAACTTCTGGCAAATCATTAATGTAAACCAGGAAGAGAAGCTGGCCCAAAACACTGCTCTGGGGAACTCCAAATTTTTTTTTAAACCGTAGTTGGATCTCTGTAGATGTGTCACATCAACACATTGATATCTATCATCTAAGTATGTCTTAGGCAATCCAAAGCTGGTCCCCTAATACCGTAATGCTCAAGTTTCAACAGAAGCTGTACATGTGGAACAAAATCAAATGCCTTAGACATATCAAGAAACATCACTGTTGTGTACATTTTTTCATTGACACTGAAGGATGTCGTTAACCAAAAAGAAAGCTGCATCTTTGGTAGATTTTTCTCTTTGAAAACCTTATTGGTTCCTCACAATAACACCGTTAACGTTGAAGAAAGATGTAAGTTTCTCGTGCATAACTTTTTCAAATATTTTTGATAACACCGACAGTATTGTAAAAAGGCGACAAAATGCATTCCTCCGTCAGCTCCGACAGCCATTGACCCGTTTCACCCAAGACGGGTCTCGTCACCTGTTGCGACCATCATCCTTCGGTCGCAGTTCTCTAGAACCTCGAGAAGCGCACACGACGGAACACTGTGCGTTGCCTCTCAGGCCTGTATCTGTTCGGACGACGAATTCCCCAAAATCGTCGCCCGCAGGCCTCTTCCTAAGGTGGCCGACCGACGAATGCCCTCCGGCGCCCATTGCGCCTTCTTCGGGCAGAGAGAGCGGTGCAGCGTTCTCTCTCCCGTCCCGCCGCGTCCTTTGAGGAGATCACCTGCTCGTAGAAGGAAGCGACGGCACTCCATTCACTCTCGCTCCGGACCATGAACAAAAATATGGTCGGAAGCGAGACGCTACCCGCAAAACTGACTTCTGCAATAAGACAAGCTGGCCCAAGCTGGGCATTTCGCCAGCGTGTGAAGCGCCAAGTCGTGTCGTGAGGGCAGCCATCACAATAATGGCACGGTGACGTCGGCTCCCGGCCGATCTAATACTAACTTGCCGAAGTACCCGTGTACGAAAAGCACCTGTGTTATCCCGGAAGGTGAGAGCTCCGTGTTTCCCTCCAGCGCGTTAATATGCATTATTCTAACCTAACTACAATGATTCAGTAATGAGTAACAGTAGGTGGTATCGGTGATATGGGAGTTTGTACAAAATGTGGCTATTCGATGCCGTATCATCGAATAGCCACATTTTTAGCCCATTTTAAATGACCCATCGGTTAAATAATTCTTCGATGACTTTGCGTTGTTAAAATGGGCTTTGAATACGAAACCCGTCGTGTTCATGTAGTCCATGAGCTCATAACCTTTACATGACCAATTTCCCCTCAATCGTTTGTACAATAAAGCCTCGTGCACTTCAGCTGCTTTTCCGTTGGGGGGATTAGCACTGGATACCCCAGGAGCACTCGAAAAAAAATCTGATTGCTCGATTTTCATAACAGTTCATTATAAGCAAGCAGGCGCTGTCCTCATACAGTGATGTTAACAGCCATAAGGAAGTTTTTCATGTTCGAGCGACCAGCTGATCCTGTATACACATATACAGGCACAGCCAGCTGAGCTCGTGCACGAGGCTTAATGCTACAACTCCCTCAACTCACAGTTATATAGCTCGAGAGGAAATGTTTGACCAACTCTTTCCCTGGCCACTGTACTAATAGTATACCTGATAAGGTATGTAGCACACAGTCTTTTTCTTATATTTCATATTTTGTAGGTAGTTTGTACTTTACAAAACTAATACTTACTTCTCATAAAAGCTTTTGATAGTCTTTTTAATTACATAATGAAAGATTATACTTAATTTCCAAAAAATATATATTGTAAATGAACATAAACCAATGACACATAAAAAATTATCTTTTACAAGTCACATTAAAATATATATTTTATACCTATATATCATTATAAATTTTTACAATACAAATATGTATTGTAATTTTATTAACATAAAATAAAATATAAGAGATACTTCCCAAGCTTTGATTAGCGTTACATTCTACAAAAAGTTCATTGTTGAAACTTAACACTAGCATGGTTATATTATTATCACATAATATCTAATTGGTTGAATGACCATGTCTTAGACTATGTACGTTACTAAAAGGTCTTTATAAATGCAGCATCTTAACAACATGTAGACATTATATTTCATATAATATCTTTCAGATTATCTTTAACAGCGAGGAAAGTCTATTAGAAAAATTGACAAGAATCAGCAGAATTTTTTTATTTTTTATTTTTATTTTTATTATTTTAGTCACATATTCATTTAAGGGATGCTAGAAGAGCGGACCTTGCTCTTGAAGGAGTTAAGCGACCTGCTGCAACATGTCAAGTCAAGAGTATGTGGTCTAACATGGTCGTCTAAATCCTTATATCTTTATTATGTATGAATACCATTCACATAAGTGTTTTATTCTAATAGGTCTAACTGATATCCTAGAATGAAATAATTTACTGTTCAGTCTTGTCCATGTCTGGGCAAAGCTGCCTAATATCTATTGAGATTAGTAAATAATGTAAATGATTAATTTAATAATTATAGTGTACATTTACTATTAAAAACTATTCTGTCAAAAGAGTACTTAACCTAGCTTAATGTATATTTTGGACGGTTCACTTATATCATGGATGGATTATCTTATAAATTACTTTACATCATGTATTGAACACAAACTTTGATCTAAGATCAAAGAACACAAATTAATATATTATATTTAGGTACATATTAGCAAATAAAATTCATAAAAACCTAGATTTCTTCAAATCAGATCTTTAAATATAATCTTCAATTTATCATTCATCAATATATCAATTTATGTAGAAAAGTTTTGTGCTTAACACAATGATATGTAAAGAAAAGTAACACTTATAAAACAACTGTTTTAAATTTTAAATAGTGTACAATTAATAAAAGTTTAAATGTAATGTACAAACTTTAAAAAACAATAACGAAATGAAACCTTCATATTCAAAGATCAACAATAAAATTACTGATCAATTCTGCTATCAGAACATGAATAAATGTTGGGTAGGGTAAATATCATGAATATTCGAACATAATAATTATAAATGATATGCGGTTTTACTCATGTGTGTATTTCTGGATTCCCAACAATAACACCATTTGTAAATCATCCTTTAATAAAAGTTATTAGTCTATCATTACGCAATCTGTGTATTACATACCATTGCCATTGAGAGTTTTTTATATTTTAGTAAAGTAGTGTTCAGTGATTCAGATTATCTAAAACTTGATATATACCATTGCAATTAAAATGGTATCTTCATATATTTGTATAAGATTTGTGTGCAAGTACAAGTATAAAAAATTTAGGTACTACATTATTTTATACATGCTAAATAAAAGTGGTATAGTGCAAAATATAAGTGTCAATGATGATGTAATAGTTGAGGAACTATTGCATTCGTCCGAGGAGCAATAACATTCCTCCCAATACACTCCATTCTCATATACTCCCCAGTTGCAAACACCTGTTACACCAGTCTCGGCCACAGACGCACACCGTCGAACAACTTGCCTCCACCTCCCATCCCCTGTTAACATTATTAATTTAATAGACACATCTATTCTTCTATTCTATAAAGTCAATATATAGGTCAATAAAATAGCATTACATATTGGATTAACCAACAAACATGGAAGAATGTTAGACATACCTATAGTACCTATAATATTAGTCATATTTGTTTTTAATTAACCAACAAAGTAACAAGTAATTATTTAAATAAATCTTATAAGAGAATTTTAACTTAATTACTGTATCGGAATCAAACTTGTATACATAGTTTGGATGACAATTTTATAATTTGGCATTTCAGGACTGAATTGATGATGAAGCCAAAAAGTGCATTGTAGAACTGCTCAGTGTTTACCACTAAACCCTTTGACTCTGGGCTTATATTTTTTTTCTCAAATCCAACAAATATAAAGATGATAGGTAACAATGTCCTCATGATAAAGCATAAGTGGCACATTTTTTAAAGCGTTTTTTTTACTGTACTATTATAATTATGTTTAACAACTTACAAATAAATCCTTTTGGTCCTTGTTGAGTCAACTTCATGCAAAACGATCCTGGCATGTTGGATTCATCACTAAAACATTCGACTGCTATGTGACTTTCTTTGTTGAATTTACGATACGCGCCACAGTTATCTTCACCTTTATTGTCCTGGGACGATGCACATTGGTAGCATCGTACACACAATACTGAAATTCATTTATAAACAAATAAGTTATGAAAAACGGTTGAAACGGCGTGGTTAAAGTAAATATAAGATAGAATAACTTACCGGTTGGCAGGATACAGAAAACTGTAATCATTAAACATATAATCTTCATCTTGTTGCTTGAAGTTACTTGTATTTACTGTTCACGTACAGTGTACACACCCAAAGTAGTCTCTCAAAACAGAAACACTAATTTTTTTAAACAAAACTTCACATTTGTATAGTGTTGTGCCACTGTCATGAACAGTCGGTTTTATCGGTTTTCTATCAGCTCTCACAAAGTACAATTTACATACAGGAAAGTGCAAGGTAGAGAGAAGTTTTTTAATTTGATTGTTACTGTTTTATTGCGTACATGTTTTAAAATATCAATATTAATATGTAGTTTTGATTATTTTCACTTTACTGCCCAGCTTGGTATAATAACCGAAAACCTTCTTTCTAAGCAAGAGGCCTATGTCCAGCAGTGGACTATTAGAGGCTGGTAATGATGATAATGATTTAAGCAAAAAGTTGCAATCTGGTAGACCACTGTAGTTTTTCCTCTTACGGATTTTACATTTCGGTTTTTGCGCATGGACTTCTCTTTTGAGGCGGGCTTTCACTAGCTTTCATTCATTTAATTTTGCTGTCAGAATCAGTGTTGCTACTAAAACTAGTGGTTTCGACCCCCCTTTACTGGCGAAATTTTGCTTTTAGTGGCTAGTTGACGTTTTTAGTGGTTTAGATGTAATAGTCAGATTGTAGAAGACTTAGGAAATGCTGTTGAAAGATGAATTGTGAGAACTGTTCCTAGAATACCTCAAGAACTTTTGATAGGCAAGAAAGGATAGGGATTGAATAGAAATGCTCAGGAAGAGAAGGATTATTAATTTTAGGCAATGATGATTTTAGGGAAAGAAAGTCAATAATGTGGGCTATATCTTCGAGGTCGTAATCCAGGATGGTAACGATCATCCTACGGCATCCAAATTATTGCGTCCCAACAGACAGAAAGGATCTTTTTGATGTCCCCAAAAGGCACAGAAGAAAATTGTCAATATTAGGTATGGGCAGACTATATCTATGTTTAATGATCCGGTGGAGTAGCAGAAGAGAAATAAAGATTGATATCATTTAAACCAATGAAATTCGGTCCGTTGTTGTCTACCAATGCGCAATATGTTATGGATCTTCCACATACTAGAGGTATTGCTCTTCAAAGATACCCAAGGGGCCAAGGGACTTCGACGTCTGAAGAATTAGTGACCTTTGGTATGGTACTCTCTTAATACTGCCTCGTTTCAAGGCCGATGTTGTGTTGAGAGACTATGGGTATAAAAAGAAGAATAGGATAAAGTTAAATATTTATCTGCTACGTTAAGAATGAGCTGTGGTTTGAAGCTGGAAGGAGAACGCTAGAACAACTATGAAATCCCAATAAACCTTGTAAAACAAATAGGTACCAGAATTAATCTGGAAAGAACGATGATGGTGCTGACAAAAATGATTAGTTAGTAACAGTATTAAATTTTAAAAATATTAAGGCAACTAGTGATTATTGGAACGAAGTTAGTTATCGCGCGTTACACGCTTTGAGCAGATGGGGGTTATACCAAAAAATATCTAACAAGACTTTTTTCGACACTCTGCTATAGTACGGACGCACTTGCTAAGATCTTTTAAACTAAGCTACTTTCGACTGCGCGGATGGCGTAGTGATTTAAGCGGTCGCCACACCGCTTTCTACTACGCCGAGTGTTGTGGGTTCGATCCTCACATGGGACGACACTTTGTGTGATTCACAAATTGTTGTTCTGAGTCTGGGTGTTCTTTGTGTCCGTTTCATGTATGTTCGTAAAGTAACCCGCGGGGGATATATTCATAGTGCAGTATAAAAGAAAAATATTTAAATACGTTGTGCATTTAATGTAGATTAAAATTTTTCTTTACAGCATATCATTAAAATGAATATTTAAGAAGAAATTAGAGGTTTAAAATGTAGAGGCAAAGTTGCAAAGTTCGCCGTCAGGCCCTACGTCGATCCCGGGTGGCAATGTCCGGTAGGAACGGAGCAGTATAATTATTTACTAGCGATCCGCCCCGGCTTCCCACGGGTGCAATGTAGATGGTACTAATACTGTGGTGTCAGTGTAGAGTATTTAATTATATTATTATTATGATGGGACTATACCACAGGAAATCTTTATATATGCAATATTTACAGGCCCGCTTAGATCCTGCCAGCCGCTGCCACTCAGGACGATAAAAAATAAAGATGGTGACTGTGGGTTATCCTTAGGAGATAGCCATATACCAACGTGGAGTTTTTAACCGACTTAAAATAGAAGGAGGTTTTATGTTCCACTCTACTTGTTTATATATTTTTCATGTATACGATTACTCTGTCAATTGTGGACCGATTTCCAAATATTTTTTTATTAGAAAGATCATAGTCCATAGGTAGTCTCATTGTCACGAAGTCAGGATCTGATGAGGGGATCCCATGGAAATCGAGGGCAACAGTAGAATTTTATAGGCACGTATTATGTGTTTCATATATTTTCTAAAGGTATTCTAGTATTTGCGTCTGGTAGTTATAATCTCGTGTTCATGAGCTGGTGATGGAAGGTACAACTTCTAAACGGTTAGGAGTCAGATGATACTTTAAGATGCTGACACAGTAACATGTAATGTCCAGGAAAGGAAAGACATGCAAAGCTGAGGGTTGGATTAGCTAGCTAACTTGTCTAAGTGTTCTAATTTAAATATTCACATTTAGTCTTAATCGTTGCTTTTTTTTGCTTTATGTGTCTGTCTATCTGACAGTCTAAAAGAGCAACACCATCATTATGCCATCTTTACTCGACTTAACGCAACATAAACATTACCATTTCGGAATTTAGAACCTAGACCTGAAGATTTTTTAGGGTAGTGCACCGCAACCGCCCAACTAAGGATTAGCAGTAGCATTATAATTTATATAAGTGTATAAAAATGTGTTAATTTGTTTTGTGTACGCTTCAAAAACTCAAATAGTTCTGCACCCATTGAGTTCAAACTTTGATACGATATAGAACCAGCTACAAAGTTGGGTTTTTTCTATATTTTGGTACTACTATGTTGGCACATAGCACGCATCGAAGCGTGGCAGGGTATAACAAGTATTTTATAAAAACTTACTCGGGTAACTCGCCTGATTGTATTTGATCACGGCGAAAGGCGAGCCATTAAAATTTAAATAAGATACTGTACCAGACCCTTTGGTAACAGAAATGTTGCATCTCAACATAACACTGAAGCGTATGCCCAGTTTCAACACGTGCATCAAACCGGCACAGTTATTCTCATCAGCAGGAATAACATTTGAAGTTGGTCGTCTTCCGTAGGTTGCTACCTCTCGCCACGTATATGAAGTAGTTCAACCTACTACGTACCTATGATTATTTATACTAAAAATGGAGAAATAAACAATTTTATATACAAATTTGAACCGATTTAAAAGAAAAACTCCCTACCTAAAAGCACTAAAAATCGAAAAATAAACTGAATTATTTATATAATTATATCAAAAACTTTACCTAACAATTACAACTTACCTATTCTCAATAAAATTCTTAATTATAACATATAATATCTTAATAAATATGGTATAATATCACCAAGCGAAAGAAACTTTGTTCCAACCGGAGGTCTATAGACCCCTCACGCTGTTTTTACTTATGGTTTTCTTTCGTAATTAGTAAAAAAATGTTGAGTGGAAAATTTAGTGCCTATTAAAGTAAGGTCGTTTTTCTTTAGTCGTTTTCTGATGGTTTTTATGTAGAATCTGGTGGAGAGTTCTTCAACTGTTGGCAACACTGGTCATAATTAATAGAACACACACTGTCTCATAAATGCGAATGAAGTAACCGACCCGTCAGAAGGCATTTGTTTCGTTTTACTGTGCGGTAATTTGTAAAGTTTAATTCAGATAAGATAAGATGTATGTCAATATTAAAACAATTATATGTCTCTCTGTTGTTTTTAACATTGTGCCATACGGTAAGTTACATTATTTTTATTCATACACAACGGTCACGCCCCTGTGAATATTATAAAAACAAATATTTACAGTTTTCAGCATAAAATGTTGGAATTGTCGTTCGAGTAACGACCCTAAATGTGCCGATCCTTTTGATAATAGCACAGTGCCCATAACAGATTGTAAACAAGAGAAAGGGTTATCACACTTACCTGGAATACGTCCTTCCATGTGTCGAAAAATTAGACAAAAAGGTGAGTGTTTATTCCAATGACATTTATTAATAATTTCTTTAGTCGTTTCATCTGCGATATTTTCTAAAAGTTTTATGATTAAAGTAATAAACCGAAAAAATAACCTATGCAAAAAAAAAAATTTAAAGATTGTAATTTTTGGAATAAAACATCTGTTTAAAAACAACATTTGCTGCTCTTTTCCAAACCAAATCTAAAATGATATCATACATGATAAGCTCTAATGTTTCTGTAAGGAGTATTTGTTCCAGCATGGCTGGTACATGTAGTTCTCCTAATTGTTCAAAAGATTCTTTCAGTTAACTGATTTACAATCAGCTCTATTATCAGCTAATGTTTTTCGTTATTGTGTGCCATTTATCACAAGCTTTACTCAATTCTTGTGAAATGATCACGAGCAAAGTTCACATTAGTGTGTTAGGATAACCTCGTTTGTATTTATACACAACTATTTATCTGTAGAATTTTTTTGTTTGTATTCTCTAAACATGTATGATGTTTGGTTTGAATGGTTCTAACAATATAGTCTGATTTGAAACTAAGCCTGTGTGATAACCAGACTGCTGAAATATATACTTAAATACATTTATCTATATACATATTGTAGATGTCATATAAATATTTGTCTGTGGTGGAAATGGAATCAGTTACTTGTGTGGAGGAATGGGTGTCTTCTCTAAAATAAATGGACGATCCTCCAACCAGACGAGATGATCATCCCTGGCAGTATGTATGCTAATCGTTGTGAGAACTATTTATATCCCGATACAGAATTAGCAGTCACTCCAAGGTTCGGTGTGTCTTCGTTAGACGGCACTAAAGTGACTTTTTGTTTCACTTAATGTGGAAGTCACTACACCTCTGCTCAGCACTCAGAATCACTGACTACTAGACTACTATAGTTATTATCATTACTTCAAAATCCTCCTTTATCTGTTTCAGTGAATGGTGAATGGCACTACTTCAGGGACTGTGCATATCTCGGTGAAGTGGGAATACAGGGTGATGAGAGATTTTGTCTCATGAGAACTGGTACTTACAACATTTTCATGGAATACTGTACATGTAATAGCAAGGATGGATGTAATTCGTCATCTGTGTTCAGTCCTATGCCCATATTCCTCTTTGTATTTACATCTTTCATACTGAAATTGATTTCTTAATGATGACAAATTTAGTTCAAAAAGTTGTGATTTTTAAATGACAATATGGATATGGACAATAGAATATCATACATGTATGATACATTAATAATATGCATTTATAATAGAACACAATGTACAAACAAATAGTTTCTCTAAATAAATAGTAGTAGTGTGTTTAACTATTTAAAATGCATCAGTGATAGACTAGTATGAACAATATCTATCACTTCTGACCTGAAAGAAATATGATCAAGTTGATGACCTCAGGACAGAGCTCGTAGCATATCTTTCATTTAAATATTTTTATAGTAATCACTATGACATGTTGATCATGATCTATTTTCTATAATGATGATTTTAGAAGTAAGTTGGATTATATAAGATGAGCTACAAATCTAATTTTAAGAAACACTTTTACTAAGCTGTAAAATTCGCTTAATGAAATGCAGTGCAATTTTTCCAAAACAGACCATTTAAATTTTAATATTAAATTTTATTGAATTTTGTACATGTAGCATGTAACTGAATGCAGATTAAGAGTATACTTATTTAAATATTTGAACTTTAAAATAATATAAAGAATATTGGAATTTTAAAAGGAATCTAGAGCAAATACTTAATGTGTTTTAATTTTTTTAAATAGACAGATACATACTCGTAATTGCACACCATGAAGGGGAAATATACAATGTAAAATAATTTTTTTTTGTAAAATAAAATTTAAATGTTTTTGTGGTTGCCAGACTATTGATAATTTCAACGTATCTTTAAACTTTTATGCTTAATTTTTAATATACAAAATGTTTGAGTATTACAATCATCAACAGATTATAAATAATAGTTCAAAATGTTTTGTAACAATTTACACCTGCAACCTGTTTACAGTTGTATAACAACGTGTTTTTGTATTTAAATGGACGTTATAAGAGCCGTCATTACCCTTTTTTTTTCTGTGCGGCAATCCCCTCGGATACCACCTATCGGTGGCATGTCGGACTCGAACCGACTAAAAACGCACGCCGTCTCGAGTAATAATAGCCGGGGAAAGGCGTCATTACCCTGAATCTCTTTGCAGCACGCTATCAGAAGTTGTTAACGATGTTTAAAATTGTCGAATAATATTTTTGTATAAATAGGTATGTAGTTTAACGGCTAATATGTTTTTGACTGAAGTTTTATCATAACATATAGTTGTGAACTGGTAGGTACATAGTATGCGGGTACTTACAACACAATCTCCGTTTTACACCTGATCTATTAAGTATCCTGATATATATCACACTTTAAAATGTCGGAATCTCCTAAATTAAACTTCGTATGTAATTAAATATTTCGCGCAAGAAACACACAGTGTATGACCTTAATTAGTTGGAAGTAGAGTAAGTAAGCTAAAAATATTGATTGTAAAATGCAAAAAATTTGGGCTTATGGTTTATATAGTGAGTAAGTGAATAGAATAAAAATTACACTAATAGGCGAAAGTGAGAATACATCAGTTTATTTTATTGAATCTTATGGGTAGTTGATAGACTTACAACATGTTAGTTTGTAGATAATGCTGCATAAAAATGTTTTCTACCATGATACACATTCGCTAAAAATAATGGTAAGCTTTTAGATTTGTAAGACTGAATACCGTCCGTATATTGCGTAAGAAATCAATTTTTATACACACACAATAAAATACTTTCATACTAATTGTTCTTTTACTATAAGGGATCTCAAGCGAGAACATATGACTGAACTTGTATCTACAGCAGCAAGTACAGTATGGTAAGTAACATGAATTTCATGGCACTGAACTTACATTTTTATTTTGTTGCAACTACTTCTATATTGAGTAAAGGATAAATTATATTATAATTACGAGTAGGTACTACTATCTCATTGGAAATAAAAAATATTACACTTGTAGTAATACATTGTACACTACTCAAGTACTCTAGTTAAAATTTCTTACATGGCCACATTTTCACAGACACTGAAATGATGCAATACACACTGTGGCACTTTATCCCTCCACAAAATGGTGAATAATAATAAATTAAAGTACCTACATGGTTATTTATTAAGTAAATATACACATGCAAGTGCAACTGTTGAAATTTTATTACACTTGACTGGCAAAGGCGAACTGCAGCCTCCTAACATAAAACATAAAAGTTCCTAAAACGGAGTCAGTTTTGTTGTACATGCTTGGCCTTGTGCCTTTTTTTTTTTTTTTTTTTTTCCGTGCGGAAATCCCCTCGGATACCACCTGTCGGTGGCATGTCGGACTCGAACCGACTAAAACCGCACGCCTTCGCCGGGTACTAATAGCCGGGGATAGGGTGACAGATGGCCTCACCTGTCACCCCCAGGCCTGCGCTTATGGAGGACGGAGGTCGTTCTGCGACCTCCGGCGCCTGAGTCGCCTGCGCTGCCTAGCCCGTGCCCGGGCCTGGCGGGCCGGGAGAGTTCTAAACCTCTCCCGGTCCCGCTCCGCCGTCTCCTTCGCGAGCATAACTTGCTCGCAGAAGGAGACGGCAGAGTTCAACGCACTCTCGCTCCGCACGATAGCCGCAATCAGGCTTGGCCTTGTGCCTGAAATTTTGTGCATTATGTTTTAGTCACCATTGAATTCAAAATTTTGGCGATTGGCTGTCACAAACCTTTTAAAAGAGCGCTTCCTTCTTTACCATTCACTCTTACCAGCGTCAATGTACCTGTTCAGTGAAATCATAGAGCAGCCCTAATTGATATGTGAGGAGAAACTTATTTAGGTACTCAGTATGTCATAGAGATATAAGCATAGACCGAATAAGAGCCCCAATTTTGCAATAAAGGCAACAAGAGACATGGATGCTAGATAGTTTCCTCTATCTCTTCCTAGTTGTGCTCTGTGGTTGACTGGGGAATATGAGGGGTTAATAAGGAATACCGAGTTGTTTTTTTGTTCTATTTGCCAAACTGTAAACTCTTTTTAATGAAAAGCTGTAAATTCAAAACGAAAAATGTAGCATTGTTTTCAATGCAAAGAGGTTTACTCAGCTCTGAACAAACGTTTTCACACCTAAGTTTAATTCTAACCACACTCAATTTCATTTTATTCCAATTATTCTACAAGTCTTATTCAATTTAGCTTAGCTAGAGTTGTTAACGGGAATACTAGTAATTTCGGTTACTGGTAAGATTTAAAAAATATCATGTTTTCAAATGATGCTGTTTTAAGAACTAAGTTTTAAGTTTGTCAGACTTATAATATTAAATTTTTGATACACTGTCCCATTTCTTTCTTCAGTCGAACTGTACTTCATGTATTTATTTAATTTTAAATGATTAAAAAGGCTTTTATTTTCAAAATACTGTTTAGTTTGATGAATAATGATGAAGATGAATTTTAAGTTGATTTTTTAAATACACATTTTCTTACACATGTTCAGAATTCCTGCTAACAATTACTTTGCTACTTGTGCGTTTAAACATTTACGTGGCTTTTAAATGTTTACCTCAAGTTTTTGAGCTACGTGTTTTGTATACCTTGAGTTTGAATTACTTACATACATTTTTTTCGCGAAATTTCTAATCTCCCGCCTGCTGTACGATCAAAACCAAGCATACTTCACGATGGCCAATCGCAACTTAGCTAAACAGAGATAGATGGCATCCATCTCTTTGTTGCTTATATCGCTTCCACTCACAGGCAGCAAAATAAATACAGCATACAGTGAACACGGGGTGTGTTCACTGTATGCTGTATTTATTTTAGGTTTTCAAAAATACTTTTGAATTAATTATTGCCTATGGTGATTTGTTGATAAAACAAATCAAGTTTTTAAGTTATAAAGTCATTAAATTAACAATTAAAAAAAATCGTGTATGTTACTGCATAGTTTTAATCTATATCAGTCAATAGATCATCATGAGATTGATCTGAGATTATATTGAGATGATACTGAGACTGGATTGTATTTTTTGTTAGCAGAATACCTATTTATAGTCAATTCATAATTCAGTCTCGATACATTCACATTGCAGTCTCTGATGTTTTAAAATACGAGAATTGGCCTTTAGGAGACTTGCGCGTTGCGTGTTTAGGGGGAATCCGGGAGACTTGCCCATGTGGGAGAGTTGAACCATCGTATTTAAATTTAGCGCGAACGGAGCGTCAATGCTTTCATTGGTCACATGCGAGAGGCCAATCACAAGTGTGCCGCCATTTTGCATCATGGCTGCTTTATTTGGCAATGAGAATGTAAATCGTGTTTTTTTGCTGCGAAGTGTTTTTTTTATTAAGGTAGTTTTTTGATTTCTGTCGTGTTTATTTAGGTACGTGTCGTGTGTTACTATTTATTTATTACCAGATTAATGTAGTTTATAATTTGTCCCTTTGTCTCATTCCATTTCTGTTTACAGAACCTATCTACATGATGCCCTTTCAAATACAAGCCTCCGGTAAATGCACGCAAACGAAAAAAATACACAAAAACGGAGTTGGAAAATGCTATAGGCGAAATTAAGGTAGGCGCTTCTATTAGAAATAAATAAATCAAGTATGACATAGATAGAAGTACATTAAGACGATAAAAAATAGATGAAGATAAGATTCAAAAATTTGAAAATAAAAACAGTTAGTACAAAGCATCACAGGTTTTTACAATAACCGAGGAAAAGCTGCTTGTTGTTATTTATTGTCGTGCAGTAAAATGCATTATGGTTTGACCAGAAAACAAGCAGTGCAGTTGGCATATGAATTAGCGAAGAAATTTCCTGACAGCTGGAACGAACAACTCTGTTGGGAAAGATTGGTCTAGGGGGTTCCTTTGTAGAAATCTCGAACTAAGTCTAAGGACACTCGAAGCCACCAGTCTATCTTGTACAACGAGTTTCAACAAGAAAGTCGAAGATTGTATAAAATAACTTAATAAAGTTATGATTCAAGCTGAACATTATTTTTCTTTTCCCCAAAATAGTGTGGTCAACTCTTCCCATACCCGGTTCAAGTACTGCTGGTGGGGAGACTTGACTCATATCTAATTTTTTATAAAAATGCCAATAAATTTTAAATTTCTTATATAAAAATAGAAATATGCACAAATGTAGCTACTATAATAAGGTATCACAAAAATGTATAATCGATTCTCTAAACTCTATGAACAAAAAAATATGATGTTTTATGTAAAAAGCGGTTCAACTCTTATTCCGAACTCCCCCTAAATAATAAAAATTTATGCACAGTTTGGGAGCGGCTTCTTTGAGTGTCTTTCAAACATCTGAGATATACCTACTCGTACATTTTATAGTCGAAACTGTGTGTAATCTCCTGTACCTTGGACACTTTGGGTCACAGTCCCTGATCCCAGGGGAAGTGGCGAACCGGGGCAAACGCCACGGGCGGTAGTTTCAGGGGGCTCCCAAATCATAATATAATACGGTTTGAAAAAAAATAAAACAATATATTGTTACCTCTCAATCACGAAAAATGCCAACCATCATAATATTAGGTCTTTACCTATGAAATTGCCGTTTTGTATGCAATAAGTGAAAGTACTTATTTTTTCAAACTTTTTTATTTCTGTTATTCGAAGTAATCACCCATGCAATCGACTCATCTTTGCCAACGCATTGGCAGTTTATTGATGCCCTTCTTGTAAAAATCAGTTGGACGGGGGAGGCAACAAACTCTTCAAAGGCATTTTGTACTGCCTTTCGGGAATTGAATTTTTTGACAAAAAAAAAGTTGTCTAAATTTTGGAAAAAGTAATAGTCGGTAGGTGCAAGGTCTTACAAGATTTTTATAATAGTAGTAATATATAATATATAATAGTAATATATAGTAATGTCAAAATCTCATCATATTAAAACCTGAAAAGGTGACTTTCTAATATAAAATTAAATAGAGTTGTTTTAAAATAAAATTTATTATTAACCAACACAAGCACTTATTGATGTCATAATTTACATGTTGTCAAGATTCAAATTGTTATTTTATTTTGTACGTTCTACAACCAGGTAGTAAAACTCTACTAGCCCACTTAATTTAATTAAAACACATATTTGTGGTTTATAAAGCTTACGTAAACAAACTGGATTAGTGCGTTTATAAAGCTTTGAAACATCATAATATCATGTCTTAACAATAACTTAACATATATATAGACAAACTTTTAAAGTAGTTTAACGGATGCAGTAGAATATTTACAGTTAAAATTAGTTTAAATCGTCAACCAGTGAGTGATCACAAAACAGTATAATCTATCCTCTTTTGAGAAAGTACGTTAAAGTGAGAAGAGAACTTGGAAGTAGATGAGATAAAAAAATTAACGAGATTTATAGGTAATAAATGGAAAGCTATTTTAATACCGTTAAAGCTACTTTACCCTTATAAAATTATTTCGAAAATGGACGATTTTTAGGCAATCATTAATTACAGTGATATTTGTAACAGCGGTGGGTAACAATATTTCAGGAGAAAACTCGACATGGTCCCACGGTAACTTATGAAGTCCATAGACGATATATTTGTACTATGTATTGTTTTTATTGTTACATTAATGTTTTACTTGAAGAGGAGCAGCGTCAAGGGAGCCGCTAACAGAGCAATGGTTTTGCCGACTGCAGCGGCTCCATTACAACCATCGTAATCGCAGGTTTCACAGAACGAGGTGATTTCATTCGGACCGTTGGAGTAACTTGGGCACTGGTAGCTGTAGTCGTCTTGACGTTTCCATGAGCAGCCACGACTGACGACCATTTGGCCGTTGACTGTAAAAGAAAATTAATTTACAATTTGGAATGAAATCCAAGCAGATAGCGACACACTATATAGGAATTGTTTACATAGGTGGATTGCTGCTTTACGACACTACAACATAATATTTTTACAGGTCAAAAACTATACAAATACATATTTCATATATATACGTTTATAAGTATATATTTATAAACATTATGTACATACAAAATACGCAATATACGTAATCAGGCTCTAGCACAGTGACCTTTCTTCCAACTTATTGTGAAGAAGATCATTCTTTCAACATTTATTTAATGCGAACTGTTTTGCCGATATCCTGATTTCAACAGAGAGCTCACTCCACAGAACTGATTGTACATAGAAGGAAGACTTGATGAAGTCGGAGCTGTGAAAGCACATTATTCGTAGAACGAGTATTTTCTTCATGATTGTAGGCTAGCTGCGCCCAAAAGTTTAACCGTCTGACCTTACAGACTTTACATACAACCAGACAACACTTGTGCTGATGTCATTTTTAATATAATAATAATAACCTCACACATCTCGTAGTATGGTACGGTAGTTTGGTCCCAAACTAGCCAGAGCCTGTATTATGGTAACCAATCTGCTGTTAAACATACTTATATATTTCTAAATACATACATATTATAGATAAAGTACACTCAGACACGGAAGAAATGATCGTGCTTATCACACAATATTTTTCCTAGGTGTTTTTTTTTTTTTTTTTTTTTTTTTTTTTTATTAGGCTTAGCAGTCAGGGTCACTAACCACTAGACCAACATGCCCGTCATATTGAAGGTACAAACGTAGTTAGATCAGAAAGTGAGGAACTAGTATTTGATCGGTCGAAAGGTATAATGGTCCTTAAGAGGACCGTATCCATATTGAACCTTTTAAGTTTCTGGCTGTACATGAAGTAGATTTGTAGATTAATAAAAAGAAGTTCACGAGGTACTTTTAATTATGAGTTGTCCACCGTAATTAATAAAGTGAGCATCGCTAGTGATCCGCTTAATTAGAATAATCACTTGACAAGAATAATTTGAGTGATGTGGAAAGGAATACCTATACTCGTAGATAAAGGAGGAAGTATAGCTTTGGTTTGAAATGTAAGTATTGTTTATTTCTGAGATTTATTACTGTGCACTTTTTGCGTACCGATTATTATTTTATTGAATTCAATGGCCTTTCCAATTCCTGCCTTTATTACTTTTATTCATTTATTCTTCATTCGCGAAGTTAGATATTGAAGTATACATATCTATGTATAAATAGGAACTGTCTTAGCGTAGTAAGGCCTGTATGTGTCACACAAAAAAGCTTTGACTAAATTTAGTTTTAATTTAAATACAAAGCGATTTTAACTAATTTACGTTAAACCGTTTAACAGCCTTCACATAGAATTGTAATGAGTTTTCTGTTAATTTGATACTTCAGAATTAACCTTGTCATACCCAGAAGTAATACTAAACTGTAGGTAGTTAGTGACAGGTTTTAAATGAAGCAAATGGCATCACAAATTAGCTACCATTATAACGAACAATGGAAGAAGCGTTCACACGAATCAACCGCTATTACGTGTGACATTGAAATAAAATGTATGAATGTCACAAATCTACCTGTCTATGATTTCCGAGATGATGGGAGGGAGGAATATAAAGTAAATGTAAGGTATAAAACCTTTATAACTGAATTGCACCGATAGCAGAAAGGTGACATTCCAAAATTCAAAACAAATATGCAAATGGGGCTATCAGACCATTTTTTCCAATTCGTGTTTCAAACGGGACTTGAGTTTAATCATGACAAATATTGATGCTGCTGAGAACAAACCTACCACGTATTTCGCAATATACGTAGTAATGTGCGTCGATTAGTCATCGGTATATTCCTGTTACCTTCTGTCAAAATACATGTACCTAAATATATATTATTAACATTGTATTTCTTCGTTATTTATATCTGCATATTGTGAGGTAATAAATTTATTTGATTTTAATATTAGCCTAAATGTTTTATTAGCGCCCTAAAACGTGGCAGTAAGGGATATCCAAATCATGTACAGACGGATAATTAATTCATAGAGATCTGGCGTTACCTACGCCGTAATAAAATATAGTAAGTAATAAATATTAGCGTATTAAAAGGAAATAGCGCACTGTTAGCAATGCAAGTGATATTTCGCAATTCGAAATTCGTATTTTTTTATAAAGTAAGTCCGACTTTATGCCAATTGATTATCCAAACTAGGTATTTACTATACAAAACACACAAAGGAAATTATTTGCTAGTTGAGCATTAGGCGAATACCCTCAGACTAAAAACAATAAATAGGACTGCAGCAAGGATAGCTACTACAATTCAAACACAGCAAAACTCGACGCAGTGAGTAGTTAAATAACTACACTTTTGCACCAGGGACTTCCTTTCTAGGGTATACCTGGTTCCCCGGCTATTAGTACCCGAGACGGCGTGCGGTTTTAGTCGGTTCGAGTCCGACATGCCACCGATAGGTGGTATCCGAGGGGATTTCCGCACGAAAAAAAAAGTGAGTAGTTAAATAAGAACAGAAGCGCTGTCCGTTGAGACAAATTAACTTGAAAAAAATTAAGCTTCAGAAGTACTTGTACCGAAATTTATAGAAAATCACAGACCGACTAACTTCTCTTTCACTCTTTCCAAATCTTCGATTTAAATATCTTACTATTTATAAGCATTATACAGTAGTATTCAACGATAATATTTAGGCCACCAAAATAAACTAACCACGCTTTATAGAATTTTATTTAATGCTTTTCTCAACCGCGGTATTTAGGGCACCAAAATAACGGTTGTAACGGTCCCTAAAGCAGGTTATGGCTTAGGGGGCCATTTAAACTCTACCAACTCTATATATATATTCCCCTTTTATAAAACAAATGGTATTAATAAGCCTTATCTTTCACAATCTCTTTTAAAATACTTCCGCTTTTAAATGTCCCGAGTTGTTTTTAAATGCTAGCAGCTTTGTGCGTGTTAAAATATTTAGAAATCGACATTCTCCGTTGGCGACAGAACGTGTGGAAAGCATAACAATGAACGAGTTTGAAAATATAACACCATTATTTTTATATTAAGTTCCGGCACTTACAAACCTTACCTTTTTTATGATTGTATTTGGATAGGGAGACCAAGGGACCTTGTCTCCCTTTGGATATAGGTTCCATCGACTCAAAAGTTCAGAAGAAAAAAAAAAACTTTACAGTTGCTACGTAAACCTCATGTCCAATGATTGGATTCATCGTGATGATTTGATTTTCCCATTCTTTGCAATTTTGTTTTAAAACCAAGTATCTAGCTATACTTAGTAATACTTACTGAATTTCTTCTGCTTCTTGCAAACAGACTTAGACGATGCCAGGTAAGGGTATGTGGCTCCACTATTTGAGTCACAGTTCTCTAGGCGTAAGACATATTGGAAATCCGGTCTGCCAGGAACGAAGGGATCGTTGCAAGCGGGGTTCAGGTCGGAAGAACATGTCCAACAGCGTACAGGTTCACCTGAAATCAAATTAAGTAAGTCAAAATAATGTATTTTAAATATGTAGTTTTGTTGTAGTATGTCGTGGCGTTTACATGTGATGCGTTAATATGTAATCTGTGTGCAACGCTGTTTTTTAGGTTTGGTTTTTATAAAAAATAGACTGATTATTGGCATGGAGTCTGGACGTGTGACGTCCTTTCTATGTAGGATGTAAAATGTAGTTGGTTACATGTTTGTATTATAAATATCTGACCGCAAATGTCGCTGAATGTCGTTGATCAGATCCCAACAATGGTAGATCCAATGGTAGTGTTTAAATGTCAATAAGAACAAAATATATCTTTGAGACTTCTACAACACATACATTGTTAAATGGTGGAGTAATGATAAATCATATAATTTTTTGTACACCGTTTACAGTGAGTGAATATCTTAAACGGTTTAGGTAAATAAAGCTTTAGGTAAATATATTTCAGCCATTGTCCTTTCGAAAAGCATTAAATTTGATGACAATAGTTGAGGTTTCTGCGATAATTTTTCTACTTTTCTTTTGAACTTTGTGTTCTCAATACGATCAATCACGAGGGCTGTGATTTTTTTTACCTAAATGTTTTTTTTTCTGTACCTAGTTTCTTTAAAAAATGGATTCCAGGTTTCCTATTCGGCTTACTAACTGTTTTTTTTTTAAATAACAAAACATTAATGTGGTAATATGGTGATAAATAATTTATCATCGTTGATTAATTTATCATCGTTAATTTATCATCTTGAGTAAAAAAATTTTACTCATTTTAAATCAGAACACTGTATCGGCGATCTAAATAAAGAATCATTGAACAAAACAATGTTTGTTAGTTATACCGTTTAGCTATTAATGGAGGTTTGGATTTTTGTTACAATCAACAATCTCATTTTGCTAATACAAAAACAAAGGCCCTATGTTCTTCTATTATTATCGTCATTACTATATAGTCTGTTTATACTAGGTACTTGTCGTGTTAAGTAGGTTCCTTTTTATGCAAGTACAAATATTGTGACATGTCTCGGAAAAAGAAAGTGATTTTACTTGAAATATATAATCTAGATAATAATCTAAAAATACTTAATTCTCTCAGACTAGACGGGCAGCACGATTTACATTTTAAATATGCAAGTGCTTTAAAATGTACACTTTATTTCATTAAAATAAAGCTGTAAAAAGTCGTATGCAAGTAAACTCCACCGGGCATTACATGATCACATCACAGCCTTTAATAGTCCACTGCTGGTCATAGGCCTCTCCTTATAAAGGAAGTTTTTGCTTTAAATCATGCTGGCCAGATGGGTTGGTTATACCAGTCTCAAACTTGAAACAAACCCTATAGGGTGCAACTGATGCTCACCTATAGAAATATACTCGAAGTTTAAATTATAGTTGGACATGTAGATGCAACTCTTTCTTGATAAGAATTGTAGCTATATTGATTTGAAAAAATATTTTGACACTTCGATTGATAAGTACGAGTAGATACTTTTTATGGTCAGAGAGCGTTATTGCGCGGGGCCCGTAGCATTTGCTACTCTTGCTACGTGGCTAATCCGCCACTGACTATAAGCACTATCTGTATTATATACATTATGTAGATGTTTCGTAGTTACTGAAAAGTTATATCCAATTTTTGTAACTTCCACGTTGCATTAAAATGTGTATACTTCAAAATATTATAATAGATATAAATTGTACACATTGTATATACTTCATTATCTATAGGAATACAATGAACGAGATAACGATTTATTTATTACATATGTATGTATGTTGTTGTATATTCCCGTAGATATCATGCACCGTCAGCCGTTATTATTTTCTATATAAACATATTGGATTAAATATCGTAATATCTTTACAGTGCAACTTATTTAGACTGAATACCAGACGTATAAATGTACACCACTATGGGAAAGTGAAAAAAGTAGTATAATAGAAGTAAACATTTCGATTGCGTTTCGTTCCGTTTACAATTTCAAACCATGAAAACGCAAGGCTACACAAGAACTGTAAAACACAATGAAAATTGTAACTGTACCGCAAAATTGAGCAAAAAATTGTACCTAAATATTTATACCTTTGATATTTTTTTTATTTATGTTTACTTACTTAAAAAGAGTACCGTTTATACTTGTTCGTTGTATAACAAAAGCTGTAACAAATGTTTAGATCTTGTGTCAACCTTGGGAAATGGATATCAATAAAAACATAATAGTAACCTCTCAAGGCTCACTCGGCCCGTGAATCACTGTTTTTATGCCTTTACGCTGTGTAATAATAGTAATTACAGACGTGGTTGACATATTTTATTTAGTTTATGATTGTTAAAGTTAATATTAAATTTTAAATCTAAAAAAATCATAAATCATTTGGCATATCTCAGCAAAAATTTAAATATGACTTTCATCGACCCATCCTGGTTTCAAGCATACGTCGTAGTCTCTACTCGTTCCTTTTTTGTATTTCGGTCTCAATGTCTAATCTACGCTATCAAAAAGTTAAATATTCAATATAAATATATAACAATCTACAAACAGTAAGTAATCTGTTAGAATTGTGGTCGAAATTCAACCACAACACAAACTTTACTTTTTATAAATCACTAGCTGTTAGCTGTACCCTACCACGCTCCGCTATGGCACATTGTGGTGGCAAAACATAGCTAAAAACCATCCTTGAAGCGTGTTTTATAATGTGTAAAAATTTGAACAAAAACGGTGCAGAACTTTTTGAGTTTCTGAAGCGTACACAATCCAACTTAATATTTTATATACAGGAATACTGGGTAAGTCGACCTAGATACTTTATCGTAATATCGTATCCCAAACTCTTAAATTGAAAAAAAATAAATACTGAAAAGGTATATGGTTATTTTATAAAAATTGCCGAAATTTTGCTTAATACAATTTTTTTTAGAATATATCCTTTTTTTCCTGTTTTTGTGTATTTGATGAATGTTTTAAAATTTCAATTACTAAAATTGTAGTTACTTAATAAAGTAGATGGTTAATAACAGGAAAAATAAATAAATTAGTAATATTTTTAAAAACATGTACGTATTCTTAGCTATCTAACAAGGAATAATAGTCTAGGATAATATCAGAGGCCCAAGTGCGAGTTTATTTCACATCTACTCGATCGTCACGGTGACCGTCGCACTTAGCCCTCAGAATTCTTAGCAAAAACCTTAGATAAAAGACCGAGAGTGTTAAGCATTAGCGTACAACCCGGTAGTACCTAGCGGAAAACTTGGCTTGTAGTTTTGGACTGTTTCGTTATTTTATTCGTGACTAACTATTGCTAAGAGGACTTTGATCTTCATCATTGCAGGCATATATGTATGTATGGATGTATGTGTGTATGTTTATGTTTTTTATATTTCTAGTATTATAAAGTACGTATAAATTATATTTATATATAGATATATATGTATACCCAGTATATCTATGTAGTATGTCGACTGCACGGATGGCGTAGTGGTTTAAGCGGTCGCCACGCCGCTTCCTACTACGCCGAGTGTTGTGTGATCCACAAATTGTTGTTCTGAGTCTGGGTGTTCTTTGTGTCCCTTTCTTGTATGTTTGTAAAAGTCCCTCGCGACACAGGTTTTATTCCTAATGCGGGAGTTGTCTTTTTTAAGAAAAGAAAATAAAAGAAAAGTATAACATCTTGCAACTGACTACAATTTCATCTCATCTGCTCTAATTATATACCTGCCACACACACATCTCTGCATCACCCTAAGGTTGACTGGAAGAAACTGCCTATGGTAATAAGTCCGCTTTATGCAATGTATTTGTAGGCAGTATAAATAAATAAATATTAAAAAATTGCATCCAGAACACAAACTCCGGTAATATTATAGTTGAAGAATCTAATCTGGCATACCTTCCAAGTAAGTGCATGTATACACAGTATGGATATTTACTATTGTATTTCAACACCATACACTTCTTATAGACCTTCTTATAATTGTTAAGAAAAGGACAGTAGTTTTATCACATTTGTATCGGCAATACGCAGAGGCTGGTGATTTTTATCAATTTATTAAAAAAAAAAAGTAAAAAAGTATTTTTGAGGCATTTCGTGCTTTTTTATATTCTTATTTGGCCTCCTAATTTAAAATTTACGTTGCCCCCATGTGTTGGAGTCATAAGAACGAGTTTCTTCGTATCTTCCGACTTAATTGGTTCAGTAGATTCGGATTAAATTGTCTGTAATAGACGGAATGACAAACACACTAGTGATATTGTAACAGTTTCTTTTTATGTTCCTCATTCGGATATCTAGAAACCCTAACAAATAAAAAGAATTGAAAAGAATTAAAATAACACTTCAAATACAAGAAGGGTTGGATTATTCTCGTTCACATAACGTTTGTAATTAAGTCTAATCTAAGTGCTACTTGTAACCGCTGCCAAAAATAACTGATTTATTGGGTGATAAAAATGTTTTTCTTCAGTGTCAGCAATAAAAATGTTTTTGAGTTCAGTAGAGGTTTCGGACTTTGGTAAAAACATATGAGTGTTTAACAATATACTTATCTAATTGGAAAAATATTGGTAAGTGTAAATATCAGTATCTGTCTGATATTTAAGCTAGACAGATAATGATATTACCTGTATTTACTAACCATAACAATAACTAAAAAAATTGAGAGAAACACATACATAGGTTTTAGCCTTAAAACCTAACGCAAAACTTTAAAATCACCGCTGTTCTAATACAATTATACTTAGGCAACCTCGTCAGGGACTAGGACATAAGTATTTAGTATCTATAGTTGTTACATTGTCTTGAACAATATACAGAAGGTGCAATATCTTACGTCATGACATTATGTACATGCAGTAGGTTCATATCAAATACGTGCGTGTCACATACAAACGATTTAAACATGGGTGTGTTGTTAAGTAGTCGTTTATTAAGGTCGAGTAGGTGCATCAAATTAAAATGATCATAAACCGACACGGTAGGGTCACATTAACT